ACTTTCCTCAGTGATGAAAATACTGGACTGACAGATTGAAAACGATGGGGCAGGACTCACCGATATCTGCGAGTACGTTACTATAAACATCGTATCCTAACATAGTATCCATTTGTTGCTCGGCATCAATTGGTCCAAAGATCAAAGGCAGTATAGGTTGGGGATTTCCTTGATCGATAGAATAAGGAGTTTGACCAAGACGGTTTGGCCGGTAAAGAAGACGGGAGTCCGAAGGATTTGCTAAAGAACTATGATTAAGCTTTTTTCGGGCTGTAATGAAAACAGGATGAGGAAAAATGACGCATGCATACCCAATAAGGTCTGTGTTAACCTCCGGCTCCTTGCTCTGAGAGCCAAGTGGAGAGCATTATCCCCATTATTATCCGCTGCCGAAACTTTCGCACCAGCTTTGACCAGTAGTTCACATAAAGCAACATGGCGACTTTTTACAGCTCGAAGCAAAGGCGTCTCTCCGTCCTGAATGAACACACTATTACTGTTCTACCACTTAATACAACGAAAAGTAACAAGCACCAGGCTCAAGAGTTGTTATAACGATAACCTTGTTCTTCAACTCGAGGTTTGGCTTCCTTTCCAGTATAAGATATACAATATCCATAAATGATTTATCGATAGCTAGATGTAAAGCTGTTCTATTTTCCTGAAATAAAAAAATGGATGTGACTTAACGACAACAGTGGCTGACATCGGGGAACGCTCGAGACAATCGTAATTGGCCGCTTTGTAGCGCGAATGCGGCGCTTTCTAGGTTTGCATGAGGTTGTCGACTGGAACGCCGGCTTCCACACTGACTACATATTTGATGCCATTTTGCTTATAAACTGCCTATCCTCCTTACCTACGACCTAGAAAACCATCGTTTGAGTGCGCGACGTCGCACGCCACGCACACCAGCGCGGCCATTACGATTGTCTTGTCACATATCCGCTGAAACCTTACCGAATCTCTTGCATTGACATCCGCAAACTTTTCGAGCAACAAGCGAACAATATTAGCATTTCCGCTGCGAACCGCGCTAAGCAGTATCCAGTTACCGTATCTAAAAAGCACCAGTTGAAGCAAAGCACGAGCAAAAGGAAATATAGAAAGAGTACGTGGACTGACTTATCAGACTGATTGACGAAGGCACCCGAATTAATAAGTGATTCACAAATATCTGCATAGCCCTCTCGTGCTGCTATTCCAAGCGCTGATAGACCGTTCTAAAGAAGAAAACCGCAGATATTTCAACTGATTGATGGATGGCTTACCCACCTGATCCACTACGTTCACGTTTGGCTCTCGAGTCAAAATGAGGTCCACAACATTTAGGTAGTTTCCTTTTGTAGCTAACATTAAAGCCGTTGATGACCACTGAAACTACCTGTTTTCTGGTATTCTTGTAAATAAATTTATTTTATAATATTTTTTAATGTTAACTCTGGGCTTTTTCAGCGGCAACAATGTTTCCTATTACCCAACAAAAGAAAAGAAGATTACCATTCCAACAGCATCTACTTCTGCACCCGCATTCAATAGCATTTGTACAATTGGGAGATGACCTTTCCGAGCTGCCCAAATCAGAGCCGTGCTGCCGAATTTGTCACAAGCATTAACCTAGAACATTGAGATAGCGAATGGTGACCAAAAAGGGGCTGAGTTTATACCTTGCGTCAGCGTTTTGGGCGTTTCGAGCGTACGGCGGCCTCTTGAGCGTACTGAGCGACCAAGAAATTATAAGTATCGATCTAGCCTTTTGAGTACTGCCCGCGAAAAATTCAAAACAAACCAACCCGTGAAAAGCTCAAAACACTGCCCTACGCCTAGGAAGCTAGATCAGTGTCTATACTTTCCTAATCGCTCAAATGCTGACGTACGCTCACAACGCTAACGCAAAGTATGAACGCAGCCAAACTTCCAACACTTTACTTGGGCATCTGCAGCAAGCAGTCTCTCAACGACAGCAGTAAAACCACGGCCGGCTGCTACGATTAGTGGGGTAAGACCATCCTCCTCATCGATCAGATTAACGTGAGCCTGAATTCAACAAATAGTAGAGCTGAACCAAAAAAAAATTAGGAACAAAAAAAGTAGGCGTACTCCGTAATTCAGAAGGAGATCCACTATTTCAGGGTGGCACTTGTAAACTGCCCACATCAAAGGACTCCATCCCAGCTAAATGAAAACATTAAAAACGCTCTCGACAAAACGCTATTTGAAAAAAGTTTAGCGACAGCAGAGGAAAGAAATTTGCACTATTTCTCCTTCCCATCGACGTGTCGAGCTGATGAAGCTGCGAAAATGCAAAATATCCGTCCCCCTTCGCCGAGCTACGCTAAAAAACCATGGTACAAGAACAAACCGAATCAGGGAAGTCTACGTTGGCTCCATTCTCCAAAAGAATTTTGGCCACTTCTGTATGCCCTTTATGAGCAGCATTCAGCAGAGCACTCCACTCTTCCTAAAACACCACAGCACAAAGTGGACGTAGAAAAAAAAAGACAAACGATTCGAATATTAAAAGGAAACAATGTCGTACACTATCAGATTCATCCAAAATTTCCGGATCGAGGGCAAGTGTTTTGACGGCCGCCACATTATTTGCACGTGCAGCCACAATCAGAAGTGTTTCGCCGGTCTGTAACGATTTCACACGATCAATCTACGTTTAAAACTCATTAATACATATGGAAACTGTTAGAGTTCCTATAAACAACAGCGCTTGGTTAAAGTGATTGCAAGTATCAAACAAATCCACATGCCTAGATAAAAAGGGAAGGAACCAATAAAGAAAAAGTGGAACGATTATGAATATCAGAGTTAAACTGGTCAAAAAGATTCGGATAAGGGAAAATAGCAATGAAAGTTGGCTTTCTTTCCCACGTTTAAAATT